CTTCTCCTCCATTCTCCTCTCAGGATCTTGGGCATGCACGCACACGCGCCCGGCATGAGTTTTAAGCCACCGGGTCCGGGACACGAACCGCGGTCGACTACGTGGGAGTCCAGCGACATAGCCATTACGCTAACTGCTGATTCCCCCCTAATGTATTTCTTAATATTAAGGATTATTTTAATTTTGTGGAAAGCAGAGATTCTTCCTTAGTATTCCTCTATAGGGCCTTGGACATAAATTCAATATTCCTTAGTTGATTTTTACTGTGCAAGTATTTTAATAAACATCTGATTCTTGATATTTTCAATCTGCACTAGAGATTATGAATTTATAAAATGCCAAAATTGATGGTTGGGTATTATGATTTGTCCAATTCTCATTCTGTCCTCATACAGCCTTCAAGCTTAGCTTATAGTATAAGTAAAGTCACAGTAGCCTTGAGAATGAATAGGTATGAAATATATGAAATATAATTAAGGGGACTAGGGAGTAATGGAATGGCTATGTTGCTAGACTCCCATGTAGTCGACAGTGGTTCTAGTCCCGGATCCAGTAGCTTAAACTTACACTGGTGTGTGTGCGTGCATGCCGAAGATCCTGAGAGGAGAATGGAGGAGAAGGGATTGTGGTGTGGCCATCCTCCCTGGGGGGTGATTTCTCACTTTCTGTCTCTCTGTCTTTCTGTTGAGTGCACATGCCCTATAGCAAAAACCTCTCCAAAAAAAAAAAAAAAGAGAGAAATATAATTGAGAACCAACAGGTAGGACAAACTATAGTTGCACAGATCCATCACTTCCAACGTTGTATAAGTGAGTCAGTCACTGGACATTAATAGGAGAGGTATTCATATCCAGATTCATAAACTAACATTGGTGCTAATGTTTCAGCTTTTCCAGTAAATGGATTCTTCTTAAGGTGTTATGTGGTCATTTAGTTAAAAAAAAAATGATACTCTAGGAACTGAAATAATTTTTCCAGTAATATGTAAATGCAAGTGTGTATTTATTTATTTATTTTTGTATTTATTCCAGAGAGTAACATGCTGCATTTTCAAATATTTGATGAACTGAAATTGATTGAATTTAATATTATTCAGTGCCTACTCTAGGTAGGCACTATGGTTACTGAACAGCTTGCTTATTATACATCATGGTAGGAGAGAAAGATAAAAAGAAATGTAATATCAGCAAGATGCAGTATGTGTTCAAATAGGGTATGAGTTATATATTATGGGGAGCGGTAATTCATTTTGATTGGGAGGACCTGAGAAAGTTTGGAGGAGATGACATTTGATCTGTGCCTGGTAGGATAAGGTTTTGATAGTTTGGAAAGAGCATGAGCTTCCTTCAACTACAGTCTGGGATGTACAAATGAACTGAGAATACTGTTAAAATAGTATTTTAAAATGAAAAACATCATTTGTCACTCATACTTTTGAAACTTCTGAGGCTGCCATAATAGCAGAACTCACCCAAAAACAAACAAACCTGTAGTAAAAAAAAATAGCAAAATTTAAACATTTTACCAATAAATTAAATAATTACTGTTTTTAATGCCTTCCTAGTTTTGTATTTCATGAAATTTAGTCTTAATACCTGAAGAACATAGTTGTATTTATTCAATACAATTCTTCTTTTTGAAGTGGTTTTTGCTAAAGGGCATGTGTGCTCTCCACAAAGACAGAGACAGAAAGACAGACAGAAAGCGAGAAATCACCCCCCAGGAGGGATGGCCACACCACAATCCCTTCTCCTCCATTCTCTTCTAGAGATCTTGGGAACGCACGCACACGCACCCAGTGTGAGTTTAAGCCATCAGGTCCAGGACTTGAACCGTGGTCGACTACATGGATGTCCAACAACATAGTCATTATGCCAACTGCTGGTCCCTATTCAGTACAATTCTTTTTGATAGAAGATTTCTGTTTATCGGGAAAGAAAACTAATACGCATTTTCATTTTCTTTCTTTCATTTTTTTCTTTTTGGAGAGGTTTTTGCTATTGGGCGCATGTGCTTGCCAGAAAGACAGAGGGAGCCAGAGGGACAGAAAGCAAAAAATCACCCCCTCAGGGGGGATGACCATGTCGCAGTTCCTTCTCCTCTATTCTCCTCTTGGGATCTTGGGCACACACGCACACCCACGCACCCGGTGTGAGTTTAAGCCACCGGGTCTGAGACTCGAACCACAGTCGACTACATGGGAGTCCAGCAACATAGCCATTACACCAACTGCTGGTCCCATGCATTTGCATTTCCTAAAGGTAGTAAATCTGTAGTACCCAAGCTGATGAAAATATTTCCCATATAAACATTTATAAAAGGCCTACAGGCTCCTTGGGAAAAGTATCTAGGCACATACAGGCTTTATCTTTTAAATTTAAAAAAATAATTATTATTTATTTTATTTTATTATTATTATTATTTTAATTTACTAAAGACATTATGCTCCCAATGCTAGACTCTTAGAAAGAAGAGATCTATGTGCATTCCTCCTAACTGCCTTACTTGGTTTTCAGTAGAAAAGTTGGAGAGTGGCTATGGCTTTATGCTTTAACAAAGCAACTAATTTTTTTATATTTTGATTTTATTAACCTTTCCCATGCATTAATATTCTTTATGCTTGTACCTCCTCTGCTATTGCTTCCAGTTTCTGGTAGTTTTATGCTAGCAAGTCTTAATGCCAAATCTAGGGCGTGTTTTTTTTTCCCAGGCAGTATTTACTAGTGGAAAGCTTGATTTCTCAGCATGGCTACATGTATATAGTATCACAGAGATTTGTTAAAGGTTTCATTATTTCCATTTGGCTGATTCACTCCACTGCCCTTTTAGTTTAAAAATTGAAAAGGTAGAAAAGCTGAGTTGTCACTAGGTCAATTTACTTTAATAGTATTAAGCCAACCTTCTGCTTCTGTTTTAATAAGCTTCTTTTTCCCTAACTTATCTTGTGTTTCTAAAATTAAGTATTAATTTATATTGAAGAGATAGTTTATCTTAATGATCACTGAGCAGGCAAAGAATAAACACTAAGATTTTGTACATTTTTCTTATATTCTAAGGATGTGTACTATAAAATATTATTAAATATTATCTCCTCAACTGTAAAGTCACAGAAACTATTCCTTTAGCAAAACATATATCCAGGAATGATAGGTATAAAACGACCCTGAGGGACGGGGCAGAAGGTAACGTGGTGGTTAAGGGTGCTGGACTCCCATGTAGTCAACAAGGGTTCGAGTTCCAGACCTGGTGGCTTGCTTTTCCACTTTCCCTTTTTCTCTCTCTCTCTGTTCCTACATGGTCAAATTAAAATAAATAAAATAAATAAAGTTGAATAAAGTAATTCTTTAAAAAAATGATCTTGGCAGGAACCAGCAGTTAGCATAATGGCTATGTCGCTGGACTCCCATGGAGTCGACCACGATTCGCGTCCCGGACCTGCTGGCTTAAAACTCACGCCGGGTGCGTGTGTGTGCGTGCCTAAGATCCTGAGAGAAGAATGGAGGAGAAGGGATTGCAGCATGGCCATCCCCCCTGGGGGGTGATTTCTCGCTTTCTATCTCTCTGTCTCTCTGTCTGTCTGGCAAGCGCATGCCCCCTATAGCGAAAACCTCTCCAAAAAAAAAAAAAGATCTTGGAATATAGTTAAATTCATAAGCATTGATTTTACATATTTTTAATTAAAATTTTATGTGTGTAATATTCTTTGCATCAGTGAAATGAGACATCAAACAATTTTGTAAGTTAGCTCTGAAAACCATCTGGTATATAAAAGTAGGCACAATAGAATTCTAAAGGAAATAATTGCTCATAGAAATACTCTTAAAAGATATCATATGATTTAATCAAATATGGTATATATATTTTTATTTGTTTTGCATAATTGGGGTCTTCATTTATAGGGAACTGTGATGGAAATTATATGGCTCAACCAGAGAAGAATGGAGGCCAATCAGAGATGAACCAGCATCAATCAGAAGGAAATCAAGGCAAATCAGAAGAATCTCAAAGCCAGTCAATAACATCTCAGAGCCAATCACAAGAAAATAGGCACCATTCAGAGAGGTCTCTAAGCAAAGACAAAAAATCTCATTGTCAAGCAAAGAGATCTCAAGGGCACCTGAAAAGCTCTCATGGCCAGTCAGAGAGATCTTGTGGCCAATCCAAGAGATCTCATCACCAATCACGGAGCTCTCATAGCCAATTTGAGAGATCTCGTAGTCAATCAAAAAAATCTCATGACCAATCAAAAAGATCTCGTGGCAAATCCAAGAGATCTCATCACCAATCACAGAGCTCTTGTAGCCAACTGGAGAGATCTCCTAGTCAATCAAAAAAATCTCATAGCAAATCAGAGAGATCTCGTGGTCAATACAAGAGATCTCATGACCAATCACAGAGCTCTTGTAGCCAAACTGAGAGGTCTCGGTCAATCAGAAAGATCTCATGGCCAATTAGAGAGATATTGTGGCCAATCCAAGAGATCTCATGACCAATCACAGAACTCTTGTAGCCAATCTGAGAGTTCTCATAGTCAATCAGAAAAACCTCATGACCAATCAGAGAGATCTAGTGGCCAACCCAAGAGATCTCATGACCAATCACAGAGCTCTTATGTAGCCAAACTGAGAGATCTCGTAGTCGATCAGAAAGATCTCATGGCCAATCAGAGAGATCTCGTGGTCAATCCAAAAGATCTCATGAGCAATCACAGTATTCTTATAGCCAAACTGAGAGATCTCATAGTCAATCAGACAAACCTCATGGCCAATCAGAGAGATCTCATGGCCAGTCCAAGAGATCTCATGACCAATCACAAAGCTCTTATAGTCAAACTGAGAGATATCATAGTCGATCAGAAAGATCTCGTGGCCAATCAGAGAGATCTCGTGGCCAATCCAAGAGATCTCATGACCAATCACGGAGCTCTTGTAGCCAAACTGAGAGATCTCATAGTCAATCAGAACGATCTCGTGGCCAATCAGAGAGACCTTTTGGTCAATCAGAGAGATCTCATGTCTACTCAGAGATATCTCGTAGTCATTCAGAAAGATCTCATGGTTATTCAGAGAGATCTTGTAGTCATTCAGGGAAATCTCATGGCCACTCAGGGAGATATCATGGTCAGTCAGAGAGAGATCGAAGATACTCATCGGTTGGAAGATTCAAAATATCACCCAAACCCGAGTACAAATTTAAAAGGTAAAAATGCAACAAATACTTACTTATATGTTGAATTATGTGAAAATGTAAACTTATGCTATATGTATCTATATAGTAATGTCTAAATATGTATTAACTGTAACAGACATGTATTGAGACAAAGCTATTAATGAAGTGGAGGTAATATGTACATGATATCAATGTTCTTGCAACTTGCTGATCTCCTCTAGCTTTCATGCAGTTACCTATGATATTCCATTAATGTTTTACCTAAATCTGCTTTCTCTGGCAGAGTCTTATGTACTCAACCTTTGCTATTGAGCCTTCCCCACAATAAGAATATATTGACTCAATGAACTGTTCCCTTTTGACCTTCTAACCTAGTAGGGAAACTGATCTAACAATAAACTATGCTGAATTGATCATAATAAGAAATTCATTATAATCTCTGATAATAAATTTCTTCTAGATCCTTCCTTGAAAGTCCTCAGAGTCCTAGTTAGACAAATGATAGTTATATCTTT